ACAATTTACAATGAAGTGCATATTACGTGTTTGGTGTAAATTAAGTTACGATGAATTAATTGCAATTAGAAGTAGGTTATTATAAAAGTTAATCTATATGTACAAATTATGCACTTGTAGATCGAGTTGTAGAGTTATAATAGCCTGCTTGATCTTAAATTTTGGACCCATTCCTGCTTATATATGTTCCCATTTATCATATTATTTCAATTTTTTGGGTCGGTACTAGTTATAAGAAAAAGTAGAAATTAGTTTTTTTACACCAAAAAAGTAGAAATTAGTTTTTTAAAAAAGGTAGAAAACTAGAAACCACACTGCTATCTACACTACTAGTAGATACATCAATACATCATACATACATGCTCTTGGCGGTGTAACTTCCCAATTCCCATTCCAACAAATCAATTGCCTAGACCTAGTGGTTCACTAATCAGTACTCACTATCGAGTATTTGGTTTCAAGTAAATCTACTTAGAAAATCTAGGTACTCCCTCAATTCCATAAAACATGGCTAAAGTTGATTTCAAAGTAGAATAGTAAAATAAAAACTATGTCGTCGAAATTTGTGCTAAAGAATATATAGTTTGGAGATAATTTTCATAAATATAACTAAAACTTTTTCATTTTCCCAATCTATGACCTAACTAGATTTTCTATCAAAATAATACCAAAAATCATTATATTTAATTAAAATTCGTAATTAATAATTAATTTACGTGGTCAAATATACCCTTTAGTTTACATCTACAAACCTCAACCTCCTACCCATTTTCTACAACCCTAGCTATAACCTCCCACCACCTATACAAGCAGCCACCCCAACGTCCAGCCGCCCCGCCGTCCAGCCGCCGCCGCCCAGCCGCCGCCGCCCAGCGCCGCCTCCATTCAAGAGCTCCGGCCTTGGAGCACACTCGCTGACCAAGAACTCTGGCTTGGGGCAGGTTTTCGCGCGACCTGATTGCCAAGGCGTCGTTCGAAGTCTACCAGCCGTCCAGGCGCCGCTCGCCGTACAACCTCCGTGCACAGACATCCAGTCTAGAAGCAAAGTCGCCGTCCTAGGGCTTCTACATCTACGGAGTGGCAAACGAGCCGTACAGATCTAAGCGCCGCCGTACAGATCTAAGCGCCGCCGTCCAGATCTGGGAAATAAGGTGTGGCAAACGAGCCGTGCAGATCGTCCAATAGCTTCCTCTACGTCTTCGACGTCCACCATCCTCATCGTCATCCCACTTTAAAGCAATCCATCAATCTTCAATTTTAGAATCGTACTTGAAAAAAAAGATATAGGTTCCAATAGTACTTTAAAGAAAAAGAAAAAACTAGGGAAAACTGTCAAATAGGTCCTCGAACTTTCATAAAAAAGTCAATTAAGTCCTTCTATAGGAGACTCTGTACGGTCGTCGCGATTTGGGGCGGTTTCCGGTGGATTTTTTTGATGAAATTGTTTGAGCATCTTATTCATCAAGTCTAGTTTACTTATACCAAATTTCATCCAAAAATTTAATCGGGAGCGCATTCAAATTAATTCGAGAACGCAAAAATGCGCAGTTATCTTCAAGAATTAATTTGAATGTGTTCCCGATTGAAGTTTTAGCTGAAATTTGGTATGAGCAAACTAGACTTGGTGAATAAGATGCTCAAAAAATTTCACCAAAAAATTCCACCGGGAACTGCCCCAAATCGCGACGTCTAGACAGAACCTCCTATAGAAGGACTTAATTGACCTTTTTATAAAAGTTCCACCGGGAACTGAAAGCTTATTTTAAAACAAATGAGGGGTCGATTTAGGTTCTTCCTTCCACTTGTCGTGCTAGCAGTCTAGCAGCTACTAGGAGGCTAGGAGCAGCTTTTGGTAATAGGGTGTAAAAGGGTTAGAAATGCCATTTTTGCATAATGTTATACTATCTTATTTTCGGTTTCTAAATACTCCATATATCACTTATCTTGTTTTCAGTTCTTGTTCAATGAACAATGATTCATTATTTCAATTCCGATTTGAGTTACTTTGTTTGGAAAGTTAAGGGCCTGTTTACTAACAGAAATATTTTCCAGTTTTCCAGAAAACTGGAAAACTAGAAAACAGAAAACAGGAAACGTGTTTACCAAAAAATTCCTGGAAAACTAGAGAAAAGAAAACAGAAAAACGCGTTTACCAAATCGTTTTTCAAAACGAAAAAAATGAGACATATCTCTCTTTTCCTTAATGATTTAGAGAAGTGAATTTTACTAGTTTTTCAAATTTGGAAAACGCAGATGCTACTGTGCCGCTGCAACGAATTTGCATACTTACACCTAGTGGTGGGTCGGTCCCGCTCCGATGTCGATTCCTTTTCGGTCCCTCCATCCTCGTACGTTACCCCTACCCTACCCTACCCACCCAACCCCACCCTACCACCATCCTACCCCACCCCCACCCATACCTTCCCTACCCCGATCCCTACGAGTAGGTATGGGTGTGTATCGTCGCAAAAAAAGATATGAGTGTGTATGAAGGGTTGTAGGGTGTAGGGTGAGAGTATGGGTAGAGTGTAAGATTATAGTAAGGGTAGGGGTCAAGGGTGTGGAATTAAGTGTAGTGTGTAGGGTGGGGGAGTTATAGGGGCAGGATTAGGGGTATGGGTACACGTACGAGGTGATCGACCCCACATATTATATTATATATTTGTGGTCATGAATGTTTGTGTGTTTATCTATGTATAGGGTTATTTTGGACATTTTAGTGTTAAACGGTGTTTTAAACCTTTTGAAGTAAACATGATTTTACAACATTGCTTAGTTTATGTGTCGCTTATTAACGCGAGTCTTAATAAGCACCATTTAGTAACCCGTGAAGTAAACGTGTCTTCAGTCTTCTAGATGATCACAGAACTGGTTGAAAAATTGATGAACATGTTTTCAGATTTGAAAATGAAAAACTAAAAAATAGAAATAGAAAATTGGAGATAGAAAAACTGAAAAATGAAAACAGGAAATTGGAGAATGAAAAACAGAAGTAGAAAACAGGAAAATATTTCTGTTAGTAAACAGGCCCTCAGTTTTTTTTGTTCACGAGACAAGAGGTTTGAAGAAAGTTCGTTCAATTTAGGGGTTGAGAGCATTAAATATGTGCATTGAACATTAACATTGAACATGACAATAAATGTGAATATAGATATGACAATAGATATATTGTACATGACATTGAATAAATGCATTAAGGAGGTTTGTCGTGCAGTGATTATGACCCGTAATGCAGTAACATATAGCAGTAATTAGATATAAAATAATAAAATTATCAAATCTAAAAAATAAATACTACGTAAGACAAATTGCTAAAATGAATAAGAAGATAATTAATTTTGGAAAAATGCAGTGATTATTACATGTGCATTAGTGTTGTGCAGTAATAGTTTATGGAAAATCTATATAATAAGTTCCAAAATTTTAGGAGGTGTTCAAAAAATATATGCTATCAAACCAATCTGAGTATATATACTTCCTTCGTCCCTTATTACTTTGTTATTTTTTAAAAAAAATATTCTAAAAAATTTGTCACTTTCCTTTTTAATTACTCTCTCCGTATTTAAAAGTTTGTTACACTTTCGTCCTATTTGGGATGCATTTAAAAGTTTGTTACGCTTTCCTCTTTTGGTAAGTTTTTTCCTTCAAAAATACCCAACTACCCTTACTTTTCACTTTTTATCTTCTCTTTCCTACTTTTTCACCTTCTCTCTTACCTTTTATACACTACTCCCTCCGTCCCCTTTTAAATGGGACGGGAGATGGTGGCATGGGTTTTAAGAAAAGTGAGTTTGTGTGGTTGATATTAATTGATAAAGTAAGAATAAAGTAAGAATGATTTTGAGTCACACAAAGTTTACCAAATAAGGTATGGGGCAATTAAATAGGGACATCTCAATATGGTAAAACAGGACATTTAAAGAGTGCTATGAAAAGGTAGTCCCTCCTACAAAAAAAAAGATACCCCTCTCTCTCAAAATTATCTTCATACTTTCATTTTCGGTTCGTTTTAAATTTATCTCCTCTTTCCTTGTTTGACAAAAAATTGTGATTTACAATCATTCTTACACACTACTCTCTCCCGCACAACTCTCCACCACACATTTCTCACTATCTTAAAACATGTGCCCAGTCAAATAAGGAGATAAATATGGGATGGAGGGAGTAAAAAATGCTCGGTGCACAATTAATGTCGGTCAAATTGTCTTTGTACACACAATTTGACCGGCGTTTTAAGATGAAAACTAGTTTTCATACTAACAAAATAAAAATTTTAGTTGTATCACAAATATTTTAAAAAATTGTCTGTATCACATATATTTTATGAAAAATTCTCATTTAAAATGACTATGATACATACATTTTTTTGTCTATATCACACTCATTCTATCAAAAATTCTCGTTTAAAATGTCTGTGTTACAGATAATTTTTTTTGTCTATGTGGAAATCAAATTTCTTCCTAAAATGCGGATTAAATTGTCTGTATCACAGACATTTTACGAAAAATTTCGTTTACAATGTCTTTGATACAAACAAAATCTTGTTTTTGTTTGTGTGAAAAATGGTTTTCTTCATAAAATGCTGGTCAAATTGTCTGTACACAAACAATTTGACAGACATGTACAATGTCGTGTACACGAAGTGGGTCTGAAAAAGATAACACCCTATTCCTGAGGGTCTCTCAACATCCATTGACAATTAACTAAAAGAATGTAAATTGGACTTAATTACAAGCGGACAGATAGCGGGTGAGACTTAGGTAGTGGTGGAGCCAGAAAAATGGCTCAGAGGGGTCAAAAGTCAACATATATACAGAATGAAAATGGTGGATTGTTTTTAAACAATATCCGAGTTGAATATTTCATATGCAGTTTAGATAAATAGGCACTCGTAGCAATACGATAGATTGTCTTTGTTATGTTTTTGAGTCGTGTCACGTAAGTATTGAGTGAATTATACCATATTCTTAAAATTTGGAAAAATTATCTATAGTATACATCAAATTTTGTGGTTCAAGACTCAAGAGTACTCCGTATTTGATTTATAAATCTTAGTTTCTTCACGTTCCTAAATCACTCAGTATTCTGACTGCATTTCTTTTGCTGCTATCTCCAGAAAAATTAATCATGCCCCGTTTCTCACTCCAAGGTGCATATTCGTCTTTGTTTGCAAATTCCAATGCATTTAGACTAGAGCTCAGTGTATTCGCTGGTTGTTTTGATTATGAGCCCGTTTGGTAGCATCAAAATCGGCTGTTTTGGCTGATTCTGCTGAAATTTATGATATTCTAGCTGGAGTGGCTGTTTTGGCTGATTCTGCTGATTTAAGAAAAAAATATTTTAAAAATATATTTTATTAATAAATTAAAGAAAAAATTATATGTAAAAATAGCTAAAATGGTCCTCTACAGTAACTTCAGCCAATACAGCCAGAAAAGTAACTCCAACCTTACTTTTTCGGCTTATTACACAATTCAGCGCGCGAAAGTAAAATTTATGTGTTTGGTGAAAAAGCTGGCTGATAAGCCTGATAAGCCGAAAACAGAGTTCTCCAAACGGGCTCTATATATAAATACTTAAATAGTCATTTCATATATTTTATTCATATGCCCGTTGCATCTCATACTCTGCATTGTTTTAGCAGTGTTGGGAGCTCTGGGTTTTCTTTTTTGATCACTCACTTAGCAATGAGCTTAGAGCTAGAATTGATGCTTAAATTGTTTTTTGGGGTTTAATGCGTCAATTCTAGCCTCGTATTGTTAACTTGGTGGTATTTAATAATCCATTTTGACTTTACAATGATTGAAAGATGAGTGCATGATCAAAAAGAAACAATGATGTAGCAGCAGAAGATAGAATTGATTTGAGTAGACTATATACTAAGTAGTTCATTTTGATTGAACTGTCTGTATAGGTTTGTAGCTTGTCATAGACGCTTATGGATCATCAGCATGGAAAGTTGCCTGCCTGCTACTATATAAAGAGACTCGGGTTGGAGCATGAGAGCGAGGATGTGCTTTCATCAATTACACAGCAACTTCCTGACCAAGCTCTTTCAACAAATTCGGCTCATATGATCAATTACCTCAACAAGATACTACTGGAGGAGGACGCTGACGAGAATAGTGATGACTTGTTGTTCCGTGATCCTGCTGTGTTGAGAGCTGCGGAGGATTACTTCTATGAAGCCTTGGGGGAGAACCTCTCGCTTGACAGCAGTGTCGGAAGCCCGGAAGGCATCTCAGTTGGAACCTCAAGTTCTGATATTGAACCTCACTGTGTCTCCGTGCAGTCTTCTTCATCAAGTCGGACTAACTTGGATGGGTTAAACGGTTCTTTATATAGCTTTGATAGTGCTAATTTGCTTCGAAATATACATTTTGATGATGAAGCCACCTCCATATTCCAGTTCCATAGTAGTCTGGAGGAAGCTAAAAAATTCTTTCCTTCCATTAATCCAATGGTCATCCATTTCAGCGATAAATACCCATTGGAACTGGAGTCCGAGGAACTGAACAGTGGTAGTGCTGTGAGGGTAGAGAAGAATCATTCTGCTGATTCGTGTAGAGGAAGAAAGCACTATCGCGCATGTGAAAGTGGGCTAGAAGAAGAAAAAGAAGAGGAAAAGAGTAGGAAGCAGACTGCAGTTTATGAGGAGGCATAGTTAGTTAAATACGGTACGGGAATTAAACGAGGTTTAATACGTACGTGTTTTATTCGGTAAAAAACACGTTGACTTTTAAAAAACGTGTGAATACGTATGCGTGTATAATACGGTATATGTTACAAAAATTCGGATAAAAAATACGGAGTATTATTTTGAACATTTAAAGTATATACTTCACAAAATAAGATATATAGTAAAAAGAAATAAAAGTATACACATATTCAAGTATCAAATCTCATTACCACATAAAAGAATAATTCATAATTGCATAAGTCGATGACAAAAATAAAAATAGTAATTAAGTCCAAGGCATAATTTTGCAAAATAAAGTCCAAAAAATGAGGCATAATAACCATAGATGAGACTAAGTTAAAATCATTATCTTTACATGATCATCAAATAATACTGAACTTAAACTCATCATTTTATCAAGATGATGGATGACATTTGAGAAAAATACATTGTACGACTCCTACGCTTAATATTGTTTATGTGTAAAACTGTAAAAGTATACTAAACACATGTCAGGTTTAGAAAAAACTTAATTTTGATATGCTTGATTGGGAAAACATCAAAATCCATTAGTATTTAACGTTTTGGTATTAAATTTTAGAAAGCTAGCTTTATCCGTCATGCAATAAATTTTAGTATTTAATAATTGCATTGTAACAATACAAAAACACGCGGTCACGAGGATGATGTTTTCCTTTTTGCTTTTAAGCTATTGTTGATCTCCTATGCATTTTATGCACTCATTGAATTGATCAGTTCATGTTTCTATTTTTTTGTAAAAATACGGAAAAAATACGTTTTATACGGAAAGTAGGAGTTTTTTTCCTTTTTAAACGGACCGACATTATTTTTCGTTTTAAACGCGTTTTTTTGTTCAAAAAAACGGTATGTGTTTAAAACGCGTTTTAAACGGAAAAAAACTAACTAGGTGAGGAGGAGGACTTATCAGAGGCGTTTGATAAGGTTTTTCTGTGTGCGGATGATGATGATGCTGACTTTCCATCTGTAGCCGGAAAGCAACAGCAGAAAGGTCGAAATGGGCGCAAGAGCCGTTCAAATAAACAACGAGCAGATGGTCGTGAAATTGTTGATCTCCAGCCCGATTTGATCAGTTGCGCAAAATATGTTGCTGAAGCAAATTATAGGGCTGTTGTAGAACAACTAGAGAAGATTAGGCATTACTCTTCGCCTACCGGGGATGCAAATCAGAGGCTGGCACATGCATTTGCTGATGGTCTTGAGGCACGGCTAGCTAGAACTGGGCTGCAATTTAATGCTTCATCATCACTTTGCAAGACGAATAGCTTTCCAAGTTATGCTTCTGAATTGCAAAAGTCCCGCCTGTCATCATCTATGCCATTTATGAGGATATTTATCTTCTTTGCAAATAAGATGATTTACGATGTAGCATCAAGAGCCGCATCACTCCACGTTATAGATTTCGGCATTCTTCATGGTATCCAGTGGCCCACTCTTATTCGGGATCTTTCACAAAGACACGGTGGCCCTCCAAAACTTCGAATAACTGGGATTGAGCTTCCCCAACCTGGTTTTCGTCCATCTCAAACAGTAGTAGAGACCGGTTGTCGCTTGGCTAGATATTGCAAGCGTTTTGGTGTACCATTCGAGTACAATGCCATCACAACAAAGAATTAGGAGGCACTTAAGATTTCTGATTTAAAGCTCAGGCGGGGTGAGGTGGTTGTTGTTAACTGTAATGGTCGATTGACAGACCTTCCAGACGAGACAACATCTGGTGTTGACATCCCTAGGGATGGTGTTCTAAACTTGATTCGGGAAGTAAACCCTCAAATTTTTGTCCATATTACGCTTTGTTGAGGTTTATTCCTTCAACCTTCAGGCCCAACACGTAAGCCCAAAGATTTCGAGTGGAGTGCGTGTGAATAACTAGGCCAACAAGCAGATGATAGGGGTCAAGAAACAGTAAGGTAGCAAGTAAGTGATTAGGTATTATTATCTCTTAATAACTCCCTAATACAATACTTTTTGCTAAGGCTCCGTCGGCCGTTCGTCTTACAAGGCAGTAGAAGTGCTGCGAGTAAGAATACTATAGCTAGAGTGCTAAGAATAGAAAGTTGTCAACCCTTCACAATGAAATAAATGCTTCTATTTATACCCGCCAATGGGCAGGTGGCTATGCTGACGTGGAGGCCTGCGGACCGCTTGTGTCCCAACCACCAAATCTTCTGCATTAAATGCACTTCCCGCCAGAATCTAGGCTTCCCGCCTAAATAATGGGGACGTTCGCCCGCCAGGGGGTGAGCTGGGTCACTCCAAGTGACCCTCAAGAGACTTCGGCTGTTCGTCCCCTGACCTTAGTGGATTCTCTCCATGTGGACTGGATCTCCTCCGACGATCATGGGCCTGCCCAGGAGACGTTCGTCGTTATCCCTGATGGCCAGTGGTCCTGCCCCTTACCTCTGCTCATACGTTCGTCGCGATGGGCCGTTTGAAACCTGGACCCCCCAATTCCAGACGTTCGTCTCTTCCCAAGGGTCATGGGCCTGCGCCCAGCCTGGTCCTAGCATGACGTGCGTCCGATAGAAAAAAAGGGGTTAATGGGCCGGACCTCGGCCTGGGCCATTATCCCAACACAAGTCCCCCACTTCTGATGTTCTGGGCATGCGCAGGACATAAGGAAGTATAGATGCCCCGAAATGGACGTTCGTGTCTTGATACTTGTGTCTTATTGCATCTGGCGGAAGCGTACGCTCGTGGTCATGGTGCTTAACAGCTGTCGACGGTTCAGGAAACGAGGTGACGGCTGCTGTAGCGGCGGTGCATTTTCCGAGGAAATGCCATCATTACGCTTTCGTCCCACGCACAGCGCGTGAGACGGAATACGCTCCTTGCCACGTGTCCGTCCCTCGTTGGTCCCCCCATCGGTGTCTCTCCTATAAATGCCGGGTTTTCCCTCTAGGTTAGGGTTCCCGATTTCTGCTCTCTTGTCTTCGAATTTCCGCAGCTCTTCAAGTCTTCTCCCGCTTCCAAGTTCGGCTAATCCCTCTAAGGTAACTTCCATCTTCTGCTTCTTTTTCTTGTCTTGAATTCTTGCCGCGATGGTTTCGATGGAGATCTCGTCAAGTTCTGGTTCGGGTTCATCGGGTTCCTCCTCGGGTTCCTCTTCCGACTCCGGTTCACGTTCTTCGGGCGAAGTTAGCACTTCCGGTAGTTCTGGCTCGGCCCCTGCCGTGGGAACTGTTCAGGCCGGGGAAGCCCAAATTGGTGTTGTTGCGACTGTCCCTGGTGAGGAGGGTGCTGATTCGGGGGAGCAAAACAGTATGGCTCTCGATGTGGTGGATCCCGTGGTTGAGGACGGGGAACAGGGGTCCGCCAGTGAGGACGGTCGTCCGGACGGATATGATTCTGGGGTCGAGGCCCAGGACGGTTCCGACATCGAAGTTTTTGACCTCGGGCTAAAGATAGATGTGGAGAGGCATCTATGCCCGATCAAGAATGTCCTCTGTCATGAGCAGATCTTCTCACCGGTGGCCCTTAACAAGCTCAAGGTGTTCTTCCCTCCTCCGTCCGTATACAGCCTCCGCGGCGCAACCCACGTGATGAGGAGACGTCCAGGGATGATTATGGTGCTTCTGGACTCCATCGAGGCTGGGCTGCGTTTCCCTCTCCATCCGTTCTTTGTGGAATTCTTTTGCTGTTACCAGATAGCCCCCGCTCAACTCATGCCGAATTCCTATCGGTGGCTCTCCGCCTTCCTAGTCCGTTGCAAGGACAATGGGGTCACCGCCACTTTGGATCTGTTCCATTACTTCTATCGGCTCACCCCCCAGAATTCCGACGGTTTCCTGAGCATTGCAGCTCGTCCGAAGCGGAGGTTGTTCAGCGGAGCGCCGAGTTCCATCCATGACTGGAAGAACCGGTTCTTCTTTGTGCGGTATGCGGATGCTCGTCTGCCACTACGGTGGAATGGCTATCCGCCCAAGATAGGGTCCCCGGAGCTGACCGACGATCTGGAGGAAGACATCAGGAAGATCTCGACGGGCGGCGTCCGGCCCTTAGATGACTTCCTAACTTTCGAGGCACTCGCCGCGGCAGGAATAGGTACCGCCCATGCTCTCGGACATCTCCCCTTCTACGCTCGTCTCGGGGTACTGGGCGGTCCTGACCTCCGAGGTGAGTTATTCCTGACGCTCGTCCATCTAACACTTCCCATTTTTCTTTCAGGTCTTCCCCCGACCCAGGAACAGATGAATCACGAGAAGCTCCTCAAGAACCGGAAGGGAAAGGGTGCCGCGGCCGATGCTGCCCTTGCCAAGGCCAAGGCCGCCCAAGCGGCAGATTCTAATTCTTCCGCCTCCCAGGCCGATCGTCGCACGGTGGAGGCGGAGCAGCACCTCATTGCCACGGTGATGGCACAGGGGTCCCAGGCCCCCTTCCTCAACCCTGTCGTCCCCGAAGTCGTGGCGCCCCTACAGGCCGTTCATCCGCTTGAAGGGGAGAAGGCGAAGGACAAGAAGTCCAAAAGGCCTCGGGGGGCTTCCTCTTCGGCCCCCGAAGAGCAAGGGCTGATCCTCCTTTCCCTTGGGCGTCTGGCCCATGATGTCTGGCAGGAAATTGCCTCTCTGGTTGGCGTGGAAATGCCTCCCCGGACGTCTTCAGAGGCCTCCAATGCGGTTCTGGCCGCCGCTCTTCAGGTGAGACTTGCCCCTAAATGAACGGTAGATTTCCATATTCCGTTGATTGAAGTCTCATCCTCTGTATCTCTTTTGTAGGTTGGGCTCTCTACCCTGCAGGCTGAGGCTGCTCGGGATGCCGATGCCCTTCAGGCAAAAAATAAGGCAGATGCGGCCTTGAAGAAGGCGAGAGAGGCCGCTCGTCTCCAGGAGAAAGAGCTGGCGGCAAAGGACAAAGAACTGCAGGCCGCCCTGAAGGTGGCCCGCGAATCCTCCGCGAAGCTCGCGGTTCTGGAGAAGGCGGGGTTCAAGCTCGTCCCAGCT